CCTTCCTTCCTTCCTTCCCACCTTCCCTTTCTTCCTTCAAAATTTACTGAGAGCCAACTCTGCACCACTCCTTGTGCTAGATACTGCGGATATAAGGATGACTAAGAAGAAAACAATGGCTACTCATTCTTTAGTACCTAATAAGAGACTTAACCACATACTGGATGCTTTACACATATTATGTCAATCCTCAAATCACTTTTGAAGTAGGTAGATAATATTATCCCTGTTTTTTCTTTTTGAGAGAGAGAGAGAGAGAGAGAGAGAGAGAGAGAGAGAGAGAGAGAGAGAGAATTTTTTAATATTTATTTTTCAGTTTTCGGTGGACACAACATCTTTATTTTATTTTTATGTGGTGCTGAGGATCAAACCCAGCGCCCTGGCGCGCATGCCAGGCGAGCGCGTTACCGCTTGAGCCACATTCCCAGCCCCTATTATCCCTGTTTTTAACAGGAAACTCAGAGGTGGGAAATGACCTGAAAAGATGATAGAGTTACCTTGTTTAAAGAAACCTAAATAAATATATTAGAAATTAAAAATAAAAAAAAGAAAAGATAAACAGCATAAGGTAAGTAGAAAGAGAACCACATTGGCTGCCAAAATATTTGGGTTCCACTTGTAGCTCTCACATTTCCCTGTCTATTCATGTGTCAAAAACTACTGAGTAAATATTCATGGCATGGGGCTATGCTGGTTACTAGAGATACTAAAGTAAATCAGGTATTGAATTCATTATAAATATCAATAAATGCTTTCCTTATAATTTGAATTAAAAACCTAATGCCAGACACCAGGAGAATACGGATTTAAAAAAAAAAAAAAGATGAGCAGGAGATGGGCTGAAGAGATCTGAATGATTAGGTCATTAAAACTACCCACTACAAGCTAAAGAGTTTGGATTTTATCTGAAGGATAATGAAGAATCATTGAAGAGTTTTAAGCACTAGAGTGATGTGGTCAAATTTTCAAGTTAGAAAAATGATTCTGGCTGCTATGTAAAGAGTAAATTGGGGGGCTGGAGTTTGGTTTAATGGTAGAGTGCTTGCCTGGCATGTGTAAGGCCCTGGGTTCAATCCTTAGCACTATAAAAAAAAGAAAAAGAAAAGAAAGAAGAATGGGTTGGGAAGAAAGCCTATGATAGGAACTGGGAAGACCAGTTAGGCAATTTTTAAAATCCCAGAAAGAGTAATAATGGCCTGAATGATAGGCTATAGGACCATTATCAGAATGATAGGATATAGGATCATATCAGAATATAGGATGAGAAAGATGAGGAATGACGGTTTGAGAAATGTAAAGAACATTTTTGTTTTTTAAAAAGTTATTTTGGGCTGGGGCTGGGGCTGGGGCTCAGTGTCAGAACACTTGCCTAGCATGTGTAGGCACTGGGTTTGATCTTTAGCACCACATACAAAGAAATAAATAAAAGCATACTGTTCATCTACAAAAAAAAAAAAATTAAGAGTTATGAAATAACTATTAAAATAGTTATTACTTTTAACAGAAAGAGAGAGAGAATAACAAGCATTGATGAAGCTGTGTGGAAACTGGAATCCCTAATACATTGCTGGTAGAATGAAAAATGATGCAATTGCTAAGAAAATTATATGATGGCTCATCAAAAAATTAAAAATATCCAGCAATGTGATCCAGCAATTCCACCTCAGAAATATGCCCAAAAGAACTGAAAGCAAGATACATGGTATATTCATATTCATAGTAGCATTATTCACAACAGTCAAAAGGTAGAAGGAGGGCTGAGATGGTGGAAGTAGAGCTCAGCAGTAGAGCGCTCGCCCAGCATGTGCAAGGTGCTGGGTTCAATCCTCAGCACCACATAAAAAAAAAAATAAATAAAATGAAGGTATTGTGTCCAACTACAACTAAAATATATATATATATTTTTTTTTAAAAAAAGGTAGAAGGAACTCAAGTGATAATTGACAGAAAGAAACAAAACATGGTATATATACACAATGAAATATTATTCAGTCTTCAAAACCTGATGACATTAGGCAATGTGAAATAAGTCAGTCACAAAAGGATAAAGATTGTATGGTTCCATTTAAATCAAATACAAACCACAAATTGATAAAAGGAAAGAGAGGTTACAGGGGAAAGAAAGTGAACAAGCTCAGTTTTAGATATGTTAAGTCTGTGCAAAGTATGAGACATTCATGGAAGGGATGTTCCAAAGACAGCTGGAATAAACTAGTCTGTAGATCAGAAGAGTGATTTGCCACAAAGCTACAGTAAATGAATCATCAATCTATAGATAGTAGCCAAGGCAAAGCAAGAGAGATGTGGCCCTTGGACAACACCAACTTTTAATGGGTGAGCCAATGGAAAATTCCTTGAGAAAGAGAGGGGGGGGGAGGGAGGGAAAGACAGAAAATTAATTAATTAATTAATTTAAAAAAATAAAAGTAAGGAAAGCTGGGGCTAGAGTTATAGCAGTGGTAGAGCACTCGCCTCACATGTGTGAGGCACTGGGTTTGATCCTCAGCACCACATAAAAATAAAAAATAAAGATATTGTGTTCATCTACAACTTAAAAATATACATTTTTTTTTAATAGTAAGAAAAGCTTGCTTCAAGAAGGAAGGGGCATCAGGGGTGTCAAATGAGGGCTGAAAAAGATCCATTGTATTTAACCAGAAGGAGATGATTGGTAACTATAGTGAGAATAGTTCATAAGAAGTCTCTTGAAGCTCTTCTTCAACTATAGGTGAAAAAGTGACCTGAGAGGTCTTTTCTGAGCAGAGGAAATAAGTTTGAACATCAAAGAGGGTTTTGCTGGAGCAGTTTCAGAAATTAGAATCTATTTTCCAGATTCATCTAAGACCTTAACCATGGTGGTGTCCAACATACAGCTACAGCCACATGTGCCACAGCAGTAAAAGCACTCACTCTGTAATTCAGAAAATCTGTAGTACGGGTTCTGCAACACAGTGTGACCTTGCGGAAGCAGATCTCCAATTATTTCATGGGGAAAATAATGGCTATCTCCCCAGAGTTGTTATAAAAAACAAATATGAGGGAAAACTCCCACAAAAGTTCTTTGCAAAGAATAAATGCACCAATGTTAGTTAATCTTACATATGATCCTTACAAAAAGAGAATGAGCTGAGTAGGGCTTGGGTCATTGCTGAGACCACCATTTTTTATTTTTTATTTGTTCTAATTAGTTATACATGACAGTAGAAGACTTTATTTTTTAATCTTACTGATATATCAGGTTATTCATTATATCTGCAGGCCATCAGCTTCATTAATTTTCAAGATCATCTAGATGATAAATCACTGTGTCAAATATAATCTGCTTCTTAAATTGACTATTTTTTTTTTTAAGTAAAAGAAGTAGTCTAGGAAAAAAAAAACTGTTAGAAAGATGGTGACATCTTTGAACACATCAATTTTTTAGCTTTATAAATTTGGGGGTCATATCTTCTATTTATGTATTTGTAGCTTTTGAACATGGGTTTGATACAAGATGAAATCAGGAAATTCATTCAGGGCCTACCACAGGAGTCAGGAGGGCACTTGACTGATATGGGCCAGCAGACTAATGGGAAGTGGTCAGGACAGGATGTAGGGAAGATGAAACCTTGCTTATTATTTTGTGGTAGAGAGACAATGATTACACAGGCCCAGAGTGGGGAGCCTTAGGTTTCAGACTCAGCTCCAGCACTTTCAGTAAAATACTTCTTATTCTCCATCTTTTCACCTATAAATGATGAATTAGTTTCACTTCATTTGTTCTCACATTTCAAAATTCTTTTCTAATTAGATTTTGGGAATTAGTAAATGGCTGGTCCTATTACATTCAGCTGTCTTATGAAAAAAGCATTCCTAATTCTTTTTCATAAGTTATCTTTTTTTTTTTTGCAAATGATATATTGAAAGTAGGAAACCTTAATAACTTATCTGATATCACACAGAACATAAGTGACAGATGAAATTGTAATCTAAGTCACCATCTCTAAATACCATACTCTTTTCCCTTACAGGGGATATGTTCATTGCTGAGCTTTATAATACCCTTAACTGAGTGTCAACTATGAGACAGGCATGTTATTATAGGCTCAATCAACAAATTTAGGGACCCACTAACCAAACCATCTGTTTAGAGTCATTACCCCATTTTACAGTTGAGGAAATTGAAATTTAGATTGGCTAAATAACTAATGTGCCACACTTAAATAACGGGAGAGCCTAGATTCCAATCCAGATCTGAAAGACACAAAACAAAGTTATCAATATCAAAATAGTCACTTATGTCAAATCCTAACAAAATGATGTCAAGACGTCATGAAGAAGAGCTTTTATAGACAAATGCCTGTAATAGGGCTTATAATAAGAAATTCCTTCACATGTGCCTATTATAGGATTTATTGCAAGAAATTCCTCAAGACCACAGTATTCCAGATAAGCCACTTGTACAAAGATGCCTGCCTAGCAACAATGACCTCAGGCCAAATCCTGCAACTAGCCCCTTTAACCAAAGGTCTTTGTTTCATAATAGTTACATGAACTTTTTTTCCTTAAAAGTTTCCCTTTTGCTCCAGGCCTCCTGGGTGTGCCTATGGTTCACTGTAGCATGCGTATCCTGAGTTGCACTTTTGCACATTCCCAAATAAACTCTTTGCATGGAGCTTCATCTCTCTATATTTTTATTTCAGGTTTGTTAGCAAAACCTGTCCTCTTCCCAGACCACCTATCAGACCTCTGGGTGATGCCTGGATATTGACACCATCAGAACACTTTAAGAAACAGAATAATGTTTACGTCTTAACTACATTCCAGAATTCTAGCAGAGAAATCTATCTGAGGCCTTCAGAAAAAGAAATGTCCCAGTCTGTATAGAGCTCATTGTTATGGTTAACCAAAACGACAGGTATTCAGGCGTTCACTATACTTACTATTGTCTTAGGCAGCCAGGGCTGCCATAACAAAATACCACAGACTGGAGGCTTAAACAACAGACATTTAGTTCTTACAGTTCTGGAGGCTGGAAGTCCAGATCAAGATGTCAGCATGGTTGGGTTCTAGTGACAGGTCTTCCTGGCTTGCAGATGGCCACCTTCTTGTGTCTTCATAAAGCAGAAAGAGCTCTGATGTCTCTTCTTCTTCTTTTAAGAGCACTAATCCCATCATGAAGTCCCCACCCTTATGATCTCATGTAAACCTATAAAGGCCCCGTCTTTAATTAACATCCTATTGGGGATTAGAGCTTCAACATATGAATTTTAAAGGGACACAAACATTCAGTCCATAACACAATCTGTATACATTTTAAAGTATATGGTACACTACATTCTTTAAATTCACTTTTTCAAGATGTACAGGAGGTAGCAATAACAATGCCATAGGATTGTTGCAGGTGTAAAAATACAATTTGTGTACAGAATGCTGGGCTCAGTTCTGAGTGCACAGTAAATACTCAGTAAAGGAGCTTTAAAAGAGGGGAGGAGTGGAAAGGGAGACAGAGAAGAAAAACACTGTCAATTGGATAGAAGATAGCTATTTACTGGAATACACTGTATCACAAAATGTATTTCATTTCCCATCTAATACTTCAGAGAGAATTTCAAATTGGGAGTGTTTTCCTTTAATTCCTGTGCCATCACCCCATGGCCTTTGAAGCAGATAACACCACAATGCACTTGACTCCCTCAATTTTTGCCCTGCTGTACCTACCTAAACTACTGGTCAGCAGCAGGCTTGTACCATCTCAAAGGGAAGGTTCCCTAGTCCTGGATTCTCCCTTAGATTATTCATGGAGCAGTGAAAGGGGCACATATTTTAAGACAGATCAACTTGACATAACAGAGAGCACATATACTTTAAAATCATGAAGACTTAAATTCAAATTTTTCCTCATTCCTTAGATGCTAGATATACTAGCCAAGTCAATGAACTGATTTAAACTATCAGTTTTTAAAAAAAATCTGTTAAAGAGTACTGTGAAGTTTATGATTAATAAGATTAATCATAATCAATACACACAAACATACATACATAGAACAAACCCAGAATGTGTCCACCAAATAGCAATTAATACTTGTTAACATAACCATTACTATTAGTAACAATAAGTGTATACTGTAATGTACTACTTTTTGCCATTTGTTTCTAATTATCTCATTTGGATCTTCCATTTCCAGCAATATAAAAGAAAAAATAACTCAAAATTATGCCTATTGAATGACACCTAGAAAATTTGGATGAAGTATAACAAATATCTTATTCTTAGGTAAATCTGAGATTTAAGAAAGAAAAAGAAATGAATTATTCAGGGATCAAAAAACGAAGGTGAAACTAAAAATCAGGAAGTTTAAATAGTAAGTTGATGTCCATCTGCTCTGGTTAGGGTTTGGGTCCTAGCAACCAAAGGGCTTGCATTCTATAGCCAGCAGGCATAGGACATAAGGCTATGGATCTTAGAGAGGCCAAGGGCTGGAACTTAAATTTCCCTGTATAAAGCTGGGACCCTAAAGGAGCTGTATTGTAAGTTAAAAATTAATAAATATCTCTGTATCCAAAAGTACAGAGATACAACATGAGCCAGAGTCATGGCACACACCTGTAATCCCAGCAACTCAGGAGGCTGAAGCAAGAGGATCACAAATTCAAAGCCAGCCTTGACAAGTTAAGAAATTAAAAAAAAAAAAAAAAAAAAATGGATTGTGGGGATGTAGATCAGTGGTAGAGTGCCAACAGGGTTCAACTGCCAGTACCACAGAAAGAAGGAAGGGAGAAGAAAGGAAGGGGAGGGAGTGAGAGAAGAGATAAAACAGGGACACTCAAGTTAAAAAAGAAAAAAAAAAATCTCCCTATGAATTTGAAACTTTGGCCTGAATGAAGCCTGAATTTATAAAACTTTGTGGAGTTTATACTACCTGTGTGGTCCTAGAATCTCCATCAGGGAAATGAACTTTAAACATAGTTCCATCCTGATAATATTCCTTGGTGATTAGCAGAAAGAAAGAAAGAAACAAAACCCCTCCTTCTAGAGAAGTACAAATTATTTAATTCTCACAACTGTCCTATGAAATAGACCATATATATATATATTTTTTTTAATAGAAAATATTATCCAGTTTATAATGGAAATTAAGTTTTGGCTGGGGTTGTGGCTCAGTGGTAGTGCTTGCCTTGCATGTGTGAGGCCCTGGGTTTGATCCTCAGCACCACAAATAAATAAATAAATAAATAAATAATTGATTCATTGACAATTAAAAAATATTTTAAAAAGAAAAGGAAAAGAAATTAAATTTAGGGAGGTTACCAAATTGTCCAATATTACCTAGCTATTACCTGATCATGCTGAGGTTTGTACTTGGTTGTTCATTCAACTGAAACACATTACCAAGTTCTGTTATGAGTCAGGAAGACAAAGTCTATTCCCTTTCCAATATATCATACTGCCTAATATTTTGGGGGGTAAATCAATAAATAAATGCAACTATTTCCTTCCTTCTCAAGCTTAGCAACTCAGTAAGAATGAAGACAGCCAGGATCACAGCAATTACGAAACCAAAGCCCCACAGGGCTCCCAAGGACTCTATCTGCTAAATAACTCTGCCCTCTGGCAAAGGATCTTAGGTTGCTAGCATATTCTCAACTGGGAAGGGGAAAACCAACCAGCTAGATAGATGTGGGGTACTACCCCATGGGTCTTAGTTACTAGAATTACTTTTATTAGAATAAATACACAATAGACATTCAAATAGAAAATATTTACTTTTAAGGTTAAATAATAAGGAAAATGTACACAGTTGTGATAACATAAACATGTGAAATTGAAAGTTAGGGATAATAGCTACAGTTGTATCTGGCTTAACTTCCAATATATTTCAAAATGTATGGTGGCATGGTATTGAGACAATTCTGATTTAATAACATAAGCAGCTGGGGCTGGGAGTATAGCTCAGCAGTAGAGCACTTGCCTAGCATGTTTGAGACCCTGGTTTAATCCCAAGCATCACAGTAAAATGAAAACAAAGATGAGAAGCTGCAAATGGTAGCAGTTTTTTGTTTGTTTGTTTTAAATTAACATGCAGTCTTAGACCCTTAAAACAATGATAATAAAATATGTATGCATGCTTTATAAAAACAGATCTTAATCTTTTTTAAAAAATCAAATATTTGAGGATACCAAAACACTCTCATAGTGTTCTTATAAGACAAAATTTAGACACAAGCAAACAATGGGTTCTCTGAGATCCTTCCACTCTCAGTCTTAGGAGGCTGTACACCATACACAAAAAAGTACGTAAGGAGTTTGAGAAACGGATACATGCCACCACTTCTACTTATTTTCATTCTGGGACAAAACTCTTCAATGCTCCCAACTCCAAACTTGCTACCAAGACCTTAATCTATCTTTCCTTCTTTCCCATTTCTTTTCTAATCTATATACTCCATCTAAGCTTGAGGATTGACAGTATTGATCACACATTCTTTTTTGTTGTTGTTGTTGTTATGTTTTTGGTGTTGGGAATTGAATCCAGGGCCCTATGCATGCTAAGTATGCATTCTACCACTGAGCTGCCCCAGGCCTGACCAGACTATCTCAATTCCATGTGATTGTTTATACTGTTACCTCCACCTTCATTTATATTTATTAATGTTTTTGAAGGTTTGTGATGTGCTAAGCACCATGCTAGACAACTTACATCTTCTCATTCGCTTCTACTGCCATAAGTTCTCTCTGACTTTATTTGTTTGTAAATAATAATAATCATTACTAAACACTTACTTTGTAAGTGCTGAGTGCTTTACACTAGCTCCTGTAATTCTTTCAGCACCCCTATAAAGTAGGGTAATGTCCCTGTTTAATACATGAGAACACCGAGGCTCTAGAAGTTTGGAAAACTTGCCTAAAGTTGAGTAAAGGAAAGTATGCTTTCTGGAAAAGTACTGTCCAAAATAAGAGTTGATTTCTTAAGGAATAAAGTAAAGCAGTCAGGGAACAGCAGCATTCAAGACAAAGAGACAACATAAATAAAAGTACAGTAGTAAGAAACAGCTGGTCTGCAGTTAATATCTTCAGAATCATCTGAGCCAAGTTTGAAGATCTAATTTTGTTTTGTACTTTTGACTATGTGACTTTGATTTTTCTCATCTGTAAAATGGTGATAATAAGCTCTACTATGTAGAATTTGCTTTAAGAATGAAGTGAAATAAGGTATATGGAAGTGCCCAGCATAGGCTAGACCCATGATAGGTGCCCAGTGTTACCTCCCTACCTTCTCACTTGTTAACAATTCAATGACTCTCAGTGAAGAATGTCACACTTTCTTCATTACTTGACCTCAGATATATCTTCTCCAAGTTCCCAAGTGACTTTTGAAGGCACAGCACACCAAGTCACTCAGAAAGTTATTTTGCAATGACATCAACCCCCATTTCTCACAAGAGCCTTTCTCACACCACTCACCCGTGTAGGCCATGTTCTTAGGGTTGCCATAAGGAGCCCCAGGCTGCACGGGGCTGTAAACAGGGTTCATTGTGGAAGACTGAGGATCCTACAGAGAAAACAAAGAAAACAGAATTAATTATTAATTGCTCATTTTCCTTGACATAAGTTTTTCTTCTAAAATCTCCAATTTATGCTCCAAGGGAAGAATCATAGTTTAGTAATAAAAAGAACTAAACAACATACTATACAAAATACTTTTCCCATTTTACAGATGAAGATATTGAGAAGCAGAGCAGTGATACAACTTGTTTAATGTCAACTCAGGTTCTCAGTGCAGTGTTAATTATCCTACTGAGAGCTCTGTCATTAGTCATTAGTGTGGCATTGGCCAGGTCACTCTCTCTCTCTCTACATTTTAATATCCTGATATAAAATGAATTAGTTTAGGATCTCTGAGGTGCTTTCTAATTCTAATGATACTAGCTCAAAATTATATGCTGGAAAATTATATACTTCTATGGTTCACTAAGGGAGTCCGGTGCCTGATGATGAACACAACAGCCTGCTGGAAAGAAGAGCAGCAAGTGTCTTACCTATCCCTGTACCTGCAGAGGACAAGATACCAGTTACATAGCTTTAAAGAAAAAAAGGTGAAGAGAGGTTCACTGCCATTGAACATTTTAAAAAAAATTTTTTTTTAGTTATAGATGGACACAATATCTTTATTTATTTATTTGTATACGGTGCTGAGGATACAACCAAGTGCCTCATCCATGCGAGGCAAGTACTCTACCATTGAGCCACAACCCCAGCCCCCCCATCGAACATTTTAATGTACACAAGGAAACAGCCAGAATTTCTTTACATATTCATTCAAGAGAAAAAATAAACTTAGAAATTTGTGTGCAGGAACTGTCACTTGCACATTATCTTAATGAAGTACATTCTTCTATTCTGATTAATGGAAAATCTGTCATTAAGTTCTATTAACCAGCCAATTTGTTCCAACCTTGTTTAGGTAGCCATTTCTTACACACAGGCTGACACATGTTTGAAAATGTGTCTACAAATATATTATTTAAAAAAAATGTTTTTATAGTAGATGGACACAATACCTTTATTTCATTTTTATGTGGTGCTAAGGATCAAACCCAGTGCCTCACACATGCTAGGCAAGCACTCTACCAACTGAGCTATAGCCCTAGCCCTAAATATATTATTTACACTTCATAAAAATCAAAATATTCCATCCTAACTAGGTTCATATGATAGATGGGCAATTTTTTAGGTCATTAACTTTTCTAACACCTCAGAATAGGAAATAAGTTCAATGTTGAAGGCAGGCAGTGAACAGCTGGCCTGATGACAACTGTTCTGAGACTAATCAGTCTGTCCAGGAATCTGAAATGAGAGGTAGAGAAAGGATAGATTCCCAAGGAGAGGAAGTTAGGGCCATCAGACAGGCAAAAGGGATAATGCTGCCAGAACTTCCCAAAGCCTATCCAATATGCAGCCTTGGCAAACCACCTCAGGGTCACAGCCTAGATAAAACTACCATCTGTCTATAAACTAAAACCACAACAACTTGAAGATGAAAGTTAAAGAAGATATGTATATTTTAGCTCAACTTAGGAAATTTCACAACCAGAGTTGAAAATTACAAGAGATCACAGATATTATGTCACAAACTATAAAGTGACATGCAGAGTAAACAAGGATGGTATGACAATGGTGCAAATGTGAGGATGACAACACAGAGGACTGCTTATATACTTTTCCTGTCTTGGGTGTCTCCCTTCTATTTACCCAGTTCTCTGCATAGTAAGCCAGCATGAGGGAGACTATTAAGGTGCTGCTATGGTGAATGGATCCACAAAAAGCTTGTGGAAACTTACTGGTCATTGTGACAGTATTAAGGGGTGGGACCTTTAAGAGGTGATTAGTCCATGAGGGATCTGCTCTCATGAATGAATAAATTAAAGCTGTTATCATGGGAGAGAGTTCCTTATAAGAGAATGAGTTTGGGGCTGGGGTTGTGGCTCAGTGGTAGAATGCTCGCCCAGCACGTGTGAGGCCCTGGGTTCGATCCTCAGCACCACATAAAAATAAATAAATAAAGGTATGGTGTCCAACTACAACTAAAAAATTAATATTAAAAAAAAAAAAAGAATGAGTTTGGCTCCCTCTTGCTCTCTTTTACCTTCTTTTTACCCTTCTTCTGCCACAGGATGACACAGTAAGAGGGCACTTGCCAGATCCCAGAACACTAATACTGAACTTCCTAGCTTCCCCAAACTGCCCCAATAAATCTACTATAAATTACCCAGGCTACAGAATGCCTTTACAGCAGCACAAAATGACTAAGACAAGTGCTGGGCAGCACAACTGAGCCTATAAACATCAGGGCACCCTCTTATTGAGAAAGCACTCTGTATTGCTGATTGGAGAAAATACAAAATTGTTTTTCATAATCAAAGGAACTGGTCTCCTATTGTTTCAAAATGACCGCAACTGGCACAGGAAGAGACCATGCCTGGGGCAGTATTTCATATCAGCATCAATTCCAATCCCAAGTAATGACTGACAGAAAAGAGATCTGTCAGGGGTTAAAAATTTGAAATAAGCTTATGACAGCCACTTGTGGGAAGCTGCCTAAGGGCAGACAGGATTCCCAGTGTCCAAATTACAGTCAGTATTTTATGATAGAATCTAAGTAAGTATTTAAGTTCCAAAAAAGATTTTGATGTCCAAACAGTTTAAGGAGCACTCTTTCCCAAATGCAATTTCCATACATAAAGAAACTAAACAGCAATGAACAAGAACAACAAAAATCTCTACTTATATTCTAACTGGGGAAGAGGAGACAGAATTTTCTAAAAACTGAATTACCAGTATATTAGATGGCAATAAATGCTATAAAGAAATCAACTTAGAGTGAGTTTAGGAATGCTAGGACAAGAGTTTCTATTTTAAATATGATGATTAGTCAAAATGTCAGAGTAATATCTGAGCAAAGACCCGAATAAAATCGAAAGAGCCATGTAATACTTTAACAAGAAACTGTCCAAGCAGAGGAAATAGCAAATAAAAACTCCCTGGCAGAGTAGCTCAGTGATAAAGCACATTTGCCCAGCATGCGCCAGGCAAAAATGCCCTGAAGTGAAAACATGTTTGAGAAATACTTTGTAGGCTAGGTTGTAATGGTTTTTTGTTGTTGTTGTTGTTGCATGAGAGGTAAGTGCTCAACCACTAAGCTACAACCCACCCCCTATCGGTAAATTTTAGCATATTAAATGGCTGAATTAAGAAATACTTGGCAAAGAAATAAGATATGTCAAGAGCTTTGTAATGTTTTGAACAACCAATAAAAAAAAAAAGAATTATTTGGGGTTTGTCTGTAAGGTTGCTCTCAGAGAAGATTAGCATTTGAGTTTTAGCAGATGAGGTGGGGAAGATCTGCCCTCAGAGAGGGCAGGCACCACTCTCATTGGCCAGCTAGGACAGAATAAATACGGAAGGTGAATTGGTCTCTGCTCCAAGAGCTGGGATAGACCTTCCCCTTTTTAAAAATTTTTATTTGTTCTTTTTAGATACACATGACAATAGAGTATATTTTGACATATTTATACATACATGGAATATAATTTCCCATTCTTGGAATTGAACATGATATGAAGTTACACTGGTCATGTATTCATACATGTACATAGGAAAGTTATGTCCAATTCATTCTACTATCTTTCCTATTCCAATCCCTCCTCTCATTCATTCCCCTTTGTCTAATTGAATGAACTTCTATTCTTCCTCCACCCCCATTATGTGTTAGCATCTGCATATCAGACAGAACATTCAGTCTTTGGTTTGGGGGGATTGGCTTATTTCACTTAGCATGATAGTCTCCAGTTCCATCCATTTACCAGCAAATGCCATAATTTCATTCTTCTTTATGGTTGAGTAATATTCCACTGTGTATACATATCACACTTTCTTTATCCATTCATCTGTTGAAGAGTATCTAAGTTTGTTCCATAGCTTAGCTACTGTGTACTGAGCAGCTATAAACATTGATGTGGCTGTGTCCCTGCAGCATGCTGATTTTATGTCCTTTGAGTATAACATTAGGAATGGGATAACTGGGTCAAATGGTTCCATTCCAAATTTTTTGAGGAATCTCCATACTGCTTTCCATAGTGTTGTACCAATTTGCAGTCCCACCAGCAACAGGGTATGAGTGTACCCTATTGTTGCTTGTATTCTTAGTAACTGCCATTCTGACTGGAGTGAGATGAAATCTTAGAGTACTTTTGATTTGCATTTCTCTATTTGCTAGAAAATGTTGAACATTTTTTCATATATTTGTTGATCTATTGTATTTCTTCTTCTGTGAAGTGCCTGTTCAGTTCTTTTGCCCATTTATTGATTGGGTTATTTGGTTTTTGGTGTTGAGTTTTTGAGTTCTTTATATATCCTGGAGATTAATGCTGTATTTGAGGTGGCAAAGATTTTCTCCCATTCTGTACTCTCTCTCTTCATGTTCTTGATTCTTTCCTTTCCTGTAAAGAAGCTTTTCCCATTTATTGATTCTTGATTTTACTTCTTGCACATTAGGAGTCTTCTTGAGGAAGTCGGTTCCTAAGCCGACATTATGGAGAGTTGGGCTTACTTCTTATTTTTGTAGGTGCAGGGTCTCTGGTCTAATGCCTAGGTCCTTGATCCACTTGGAGTTAGGTTTTGTGCTTGGTGAAAGATAGGGGTCTGATTCATTTCACTACATATGGATTTGCAGTTTTCCCAGCACCAATGTATGTTTTTCTTTTCTCCAATGTATGTTTATGATGCCTTTGTCTAGTGTGAGATAACTGTATTTATGTGGGTTTGAGGATAGGCCTTTTCTTACTGTCTTGAACATCAGTACTCTCATCTCACAGGCATTTGGACTCGAGGACGTACACCATCAGCTCTCCAGGTTCACAGGCTTTTGGCCTTGGACTGAGAGTTACACCATTAGCTTTCTCGGTTCTGAGGCCTTTAGACTTGAACTGAGCTACACTACCAGCATCCCAAGGTCTTCAGTTTGCAGACTGCCTGTCATGTACTCCTTAGCTA